ATATTGTTATTGCCTTGTGTCTGACCCAACTTTAATTAATATTTATTTATTTATTTATTTATTTGTTTATTTCTTCATTAGGTAAACGTGAGAGGATAGAGTTTGCTCAAACTGTCAATAAATATGACAGACGATTCAAATGCATTCCGTTTTGGAGGAGAGTGTATGTAGCTGTTAAAGAAGGTGAGTCAGCATTTGAGTGTACAAATTTGTACACTTCAGAAGTGTGCAAAGTTGTAGTCAAATAATAAGTGTGCTAATTTGTACACTTCAATGAAAGTGCATGCGTACAAAATTATATTACATAATTTCTGGCTATTTTTGAACACATGTAAGATTTGCTCACAAGTATAGCAATTCATTAATTGAAAGTGTTAATTTTCATTAACTTTTGCCATTTTTTGACAGCTTTAGATAATAAAAGTTAAGATACAAAAATAATATGTTATACAAAGACATTAGCTGATTATGATTATAAATTAAGACTATTATTAGCTAATTATGGTATTTATAATTTTTTCTGTCATTTTTAGTTTTTTGCAACATTAATTTTTTACTGTCATAGAACTCTTTTTCTTCTTATTACCATAGATTGTATTTTAATTGTGAGTGCCATTCCGTTTGATGATCGCTTTGGAAATTTAGAGCTTTCATATGGCAGCAATCCATTATTTTTTGTACCCAGTTATCAGTGACAGGTAATTTGAGGTGCCTCTTATTCCCAGCAACACACACTGGCATATTCATGATTATTTTCTTGGGCGCATTGTATCTTTCCAGGCACGATTGAAACTGTATGGCCCATTCTTTCATACATATAATCATTTTCAATTTTAGCACTTCCTCTTGTCTAAGGCTGCTCCCCCAACCTTCTTTGTCCTCCTTTTCATCACTTTCATAATCATTAAGATCAAATCTATTGGCTTGTGTTAGTACTAAGATGCAGCTTTTCCATATGGTTTCATCATTCTTGAACAGTTTTACAAGATGTTGAAAACGCTCAACTGATTGATCTAATTTGTCTATAATTCGCAGGCATATAAGGATTTTGAATCGATCACAACATTCATCAAGCTTCTGTTTAATCTTCTTCGTCAGCTCTTTATTATTTAGTTGTGGGTCTCCCAGACGTCTTGTATCATAAAACACTACTAGTGTACCATAGACAGTGCCAGAGTGTTCTTCTATTGTATTATGATTGGTAGGATAGGGGCCATGTGATACTAGGGCTACTTTCCTACCCAGCATTGAATTGATGAGTGTTGATTTTCCTACTCCTGCCTCACCAACCACCATTATTGTCAATGGTGTATTGGGCATTTCTTGTTGTGGTATGGCCAACTCGTATTGGTCTATACCTTTAGGTGGTGTCTCAGAACCTCTCTCACTGTCACAAGACATATGTACATGTAGCTCATCACCATAATCAGCTATATGAGCCATAGCAATAGTATCTTGCCCTTTAAAATATGAAGTATTGTT